ACGCTAGCATAATTCGTGTTTATCAAGAATAAAATCAAACTTGCTAATTTGAGATATTTTTTATGTATAGGATGACTTTGAAAAAAGTTCCGGAAACTCCTGCTCAGAAAGTGCATCGATATTCCCTGACTGGTCAATATCTCACTCAAAAGTACTTTGGAATCTCCCATTATGTGCAAGATGCAAACCAGATATTTCTCCCTGATCATTACGGAAGAGTTAAACATGGAGTACCTTTATCAAATTTTATGAACGCACAGGTAAGTACATAAAATGATAATGAATTTAATTTGATTTGATTCGCAACTGCGCATTCCAATAAATGAGAAAATTACCTTTAAAAAAAACTTAAATATAAATGTTATTTATAGTACTATGGCGAAATTTTACTTGGTACACCACCACAAACATTCAGTGTTGTATTTGATACAGGTTCATCGAACCTATGGGTTCCATCAACACATTGTACTTCGATCGCTTGCTTCCTCCACCGTAGGTATGATTCGGGACAATCTACCACATACAAGTCTAATGGTACAGAATTCGAAATTCATTATGGTACTGGAAGCTTAGAGGGTATTATCAGTAATGTAAGTCATAACATTTTCTTCTCAAATATTATGAATTTAGACACTAACAATGCTATACACTCTTTTAGGATGTTTTGCAAGTAGGAGACATTTCTGTTGAAGGTCAAGATTTTGGAGAATCAGTTAAAGAACCTGGTTTTACTTTTGCTTTTGGCCGTTTTGATGGCATTTTTGGACTTGGTAAGTTTACTTACATTAAACTCTTATGTTTATGAAAGTGATGGTCACTGATTTGCACGTTGATCAAATCTCTTAAAGGTTATGATCGCATTTCCGTTAAGGGTGTTGTCCCTCCCTTTTATCATATGGTACATCGAAATCTTCTTGATGAGCCAGTTTTCTCATTCTGGCTTAGCGACTCTGAGAGCAGCGATGACGGTGGTGAACTTGTTTTTGGTGGAACAGACGAATCTCATTTTACCGGCGATATCCACTGGGCTCCAGTAAAGAGAAAGGGCTATTGGGAAGTCGATCTTGAAAAGATTGTTTTTGATGGTGAAGAAGTTGAAATGGAAGGAACTGGTGCTGCAATCGACACTGGATCTTCACTTTTAGCCATACCCACGACTATTGCTGATTTAATTAACAAACAAATTGGAGCAAAAAAGAATTTTGCTGGCCAATATGTTATAGAATGCGAAAAAATACCTAGTCTACCCGTTTTTAGTTTACAATTCGGTGGTAAATTGTTCAATTTAACTGGCTCGGAATATATTT